AGGAAACTTGGATCCTGGAAATTCACAGCTAAGTCATTCTCTTTGTTTTTAGTTGAGGTGTTAAGTATCTGTATAACCCCATTAAATTAGAAACTGCCCTTTTTTCTGAACTTAGTTACTCCTGTTACTTTGAAACTTGTTGCTTGGTTTTTAACTAATCAACGGTCTCATTTTCAGCTGACCTTTCCTATCATTTAAAGACAGATTTTTTTTTTTTCCCCCTCCCTAAATCAGTATTCTCTCACTCTGCATCCCTTCTTGTTGAACCTTTGAGAATTGCATTTGAAACACAGTGGTGACTAACACACCTCCACACTCCAGGATTAGTTTTAGTCATCCATCATTGTTTTGTGCTAGTGATTAACAGAGAAACCTGAGCTACTTTGTGTACTTTGAGCAACATCTGTCTTTGGAAAAGCAGCAAACAGTTTTTGGTTTTGTTTTTGGTTTTTTCCCCTTGGAGTTTCAGTGCAACTCCCTCTCATCTTCTCCTCACCTTTTAAGCGCTATCAGATTATTTCATTTCTAGGCTCCTTTCACCTTCCATCATTTTCCTCCTAATGCATTTACTAGCCCTATAACCTTTGTTTCCCCCACAGGCCCAGAATTTTACCTGCACTGTGCCCCCCGTCATTGTTTTGGTTCAGATCAGGAATGTGCTTTTGAAACAAGTATCCTGGATCACCCCCACATACCATAATTCGGGGGTTTTTGTGGAGTGGTCTTGGAATTCACATCTACATTCTTTTTGGGTGACATTAAACCAGACAGATGCATGCCCACAGTATGCCAAGGGTGCTCCACCTGCTCACAGGCATTCAATCCAGGACTAGGCTAGAACCAGTCCAAAGTTAAAGAACATTGTGCTTGGGTAGCACAAGCAAGGAATTGTCTAGTTGATTCCAAACTCTGAGCAATTATCTCATTTTTGGATGAAAACTACGTTCCTCCTGTTGGTGTTACTGTAAGGCCTTTACCTCTAGCCATCAGTTCTTGCAAGTATCTCATTATTAACGCCAACAGGAATGTACTGGTTTAGGCCTTCTTATCTGCTCTGATCTGTCTTGATTTGGTCAATTGCTGCTAAGCTTATTCTGTAAAATACTGCTTTTATTGTTGGTTTTTTTTCTTAATATACCTCTCTTAAGAGTCTAATGTTATGACAAACTACCCATTGTTTAGGGAACTGGGTATAATTTTTCTAGTAGATTCCTTCCTGCCACCTAATACAGCTGAAAATGTGTGCCTTTTTCCAGCGCTGGATAATTATGTCTCTTATGTTGCTTGACTGGTCTGAAGTCTCCATCAGTTTGACATCCCTTTGCTCACTCTAATGTCCAATTTAATACGCTTGCTAAAATGTCATCTGTCTTCAGTCTGTAATGAACTGTATACAACTAAAACCTGTTCCCAACCTGTCAGTCACTGGCTTTCTGGACCTCTTCAGGAATATCTTTTAATCAAGCTGTAAATGTAACTTTTACTATAGCATCCTTCTATCAGCAGAATTGGAACGTGTCACAACTAAGCCTTGTCAGGCAGGACAAATTTTTCCCTTGTTTTTTCCTTACTATCTATCATTTGCGGGGATTGAAAACCTAAAGCTTTTTATCTGCAGGCTACCATCTTGAATCAGCCCTGGTTGGTAGTAACTAGGATATTTATCATAGGTTTGTTAGTAGACCATATGAAATATGTTCGGCTCCTGACAGAATTGGATAGTTGATAAGTGTTCATGTCATGTGCCTTTCTAACTGGAGGCAATTAATTATTTTGGCAGAGGCTTGGAGGACTGCAATAGCAAGAAGAATGAACAATCCTCTTATTTCTTAGGTTGTGGAATAGTGGTAGGTTTATGCAGGAAAACTATACTTACGTTGTCCATAGTATATCTGTTATCTGCCTAACAGCAGTCTTAGAATAAAGCTGATCTTCTCAGGAGCTGTATATGGGTATTCAAACTTTAAGGATGTGATCTATCTGAAAAACTTAGTAATAAAGATCATCCTTGTCTAATGAATTGTTAAACCTGTCAAGAAGGTGGTCATCGGTAGTGGATGGAACACTGCTGTGACTTTGGTACAAATCGAAAGCACAAAGAGTCAATCTTCTTTCTTCAAATTCTTCTTATTCCAAGCTTGTTGCAGTAAATGAAAACTTGAGTAGTAAAAACTTCAGCTTTACTATCCAGCATCTGAGAATATACATTCTTGTACCTTCTCAGGCTCCTGGTTATGGCGATGTAAGGCTTTCTTTGGAGACAATACCAGACACCGTAAATCTGGAAGAACCTTTTGACATTACATGCAAAATAACAAATTGCAGGTAATGATGTCATGTGATTCTTGTGCTTTTTCCTGAGTGGGTAAGTTGTGGCTGTCTTCGTTTCATTTTTCAGTGCTTTCTCCTGAAACAACTCAAACCTGGTCTTTACTATGAGTTGTAGCAACATGAAACTACTTGAAACACATCTTTTGGATTACAATGATTTTAAAAAACCCAAACAAACAAACAAACAAAACCTTCCATCATGATCTGTTAATACTATTTGAACTAGGAGATTGCCAGAAATCTGTAGTGTAATTCCATGGAACTGGCTGCAAAGTCATTTAAGACTGCACCCCACACTTAAATAACAAATCATCTTAGTCCTTCTTAGTTAATCTAATAACAAAATGAGTGTGTATGTAGGATTTTTTTTTTAACTACAACTAATTTTATCAGAATAAACAATGCCATTTGTATCCAGTCTGATTTTACCGCTAGTTCTGCACCGCTGCTAGAATGCCTCCTAAACAGTCACCGTAGTCTTTTGTACGTCTTTATCCATGTTTTGACTTGATTTGTGCTTATACTAGGATCTACAGTAGCCCTTTATAAAAAGGTTGCAAGAGTGACATTTAAATAAAGCAATTCTAAACAGAAGTTGAAGCCAGGGACTCAAGCATGTGTCTGGTGTGCAGATACTTCTCACGAAAATCTTTACTGTACGCAAAATGTGAGCAGTGTTATGCTATCCAGTATTGCTATACCCATGACAGGATGCTCGTGTCAGACAAAGCTATATGCAACTGAATTACTGCGCATCACAGTAAATATTGCTTGCTGCCTTATAATTATTTATAAATGCTTGATTAATAGTAACCTGAATAATGAAGTAATCAAGCATTTACATGTCTGCAGTCCTTGAATGCTTAAAAAAAAGCCCACAGGTTTATTCTTGTTTTTCAATTTCCTCTAGCAGCGAAAGGACTATGGACCTGGTTTTAGAAATGTGCAATACTAATTCCATCCACTGGTGTGGAGTTTCAGGAAGGCAACTTGGAAAGCTGCACCCCAGTTCATCCCTCCATCTTGCGCTGACATTGTTATCTTCAGTGCAGGGATTGCAAGTAAGTCTTTATAGCATAGTTTTGTTATAAAATAGCTGTTTTATAAGCTCAGTAATTCTTTCTAATAACAACGCTTATAAATATTTTCCCTTTCTAGAGTGTCTCTGGCTTAAGACTTACAGACACGTTTTTGAAGAGAACGTATGAGTATGATGATATTGCACAAGTCTGTGTAGTTTCTTCAGAAGTCAAAGCAAGCTGAAGAAAAAATTCTGTATTTCTGCTGAGCTTTTTTTTTTTGACCAACTTCTTGATGTTTTTGCAGCCGAATCATATTAAAATGTGTACAAACGGAACCAAATCCCTATATATCTATAAATGTAACTATGCTTATTTAATTTCTCTGAACATTTTTTGAATGTTTTAAAATCTTTTAAAAACATGCATATGCATTTTATCTACTGAAAATAAAGCCTTTGAAAAAAGTGTAGCTCTAGCAAATTATATTGCATTAACATCACCTTGGGGAAGGGGGGTGAGGTTGGTATAAAATAGTAGCACTTTATACTTATTTTTATCTTAATTATTTTTAAAATATTTAAACAGTTTTTAAATTGTAGTTCTGACAAAGCTGTTCAGTTGGAAGGAACTGGCCTTTTACAGACAAGTTCCTGGAATCCAAAGCCCTGGAAGAAATACTTCGGGGTACCTGGCGTGGCAGCGTATTTGCACGGTACGTGCATAGCCATAAGAACTAGAGCCTGGTAAAGGCATGAGACGAGGGAGCGCAGCTGGCACTGTTGAGGCGTTAACAGCTAGAAAGTAGAGTATCAGCCAAAGAATGTGCTGGTTGTGGCTCAGTCTTTGGAAAGGAGTAATACAGCAAATCTGTCCCAGTTAGCTGCAGCCTTGTGCAGAGCTGCGCATCCCTGCAGTACAGGGCATGCGGTGAATAGGCTGTTACTTCCCAATTAGTAGGGAACTGAAAACTAAAATAGCAGAACTCGGGCATTTTTTATTGTTAAATTGAGGTGGTGCAAATTATTCTTCTCATCCCATTGGCATTTGAGTTGACTTTTAGGAAAATGAGGAGAAAAACCCTGCATGGCTGCCCTAGATCAAGTTCTCCAAAGCATATGCAGGAAGGAATTCAGGACTTGGTTAAGCACCGAAATGCACTTCTCCCTAGCTTTGTTTTGACAAAAGATGGAAATATTTTTGGCTGAAATATCTAAGGTCACCCAAAGGTAGCCATTCAATACAGAAAATGGTGACTGCCTTTCCTAGTTTAACACTAGTTAAACTAGTCTTAAAGATTCTACTCACTGGCTTGTCGTATTTCTCAGCTACCATATTGGCACTTAGCAACCTTAGTTAGTTTTGACAGTATTTTACTTAAGGCTTTCCTGTGCATAAAATCTTTAAGTGTAGAATTCAATTTTAAAATGTCAGATAAATTTAGGACCAGCTTACTAAATTGAGGGAATGAGTCCATACAGGAAAAAAAAAATTAAAACTGTATCCTGCATATCTGATAAAGTGCAGAGCAACAAACATAAACAGGTATTTTAAAGAATGCAATCTACCTGTTACTCTAGATGCATCAACAAACTAAAGCAGTAAAACCACAACTATCCAGACAAAAAATGTAAATAACTTTATTAATGACCTATTTTCAAGTTAAACTGACGCAAGTTGAAGGAGATGTAACCATGTGGTTGTAAGAGGTAGGAGAGGTACAGAAATGGTAGACAAGTTGTATTTTGCCAGTAATGACTTTCTGTAGCCCTGAAACCGTGTATGAATCCAAAGCTGCAGACTTAGTTCTTTCTCACTACGCATGAGTGATTTTACTTTGTACTTGTTACAAAACCAAAAGTGCAACTGAAACAATTTCTAAGCTGAGTATTTCATTAGGTGTCTTTATGATCAGGCATAGTTAGAAGAATATAATTCCATGCAAGCAGGTTACAGGAGTTTACAATCTGAGTGCAAAACATTTTCTTTAACAACTATCACACTTATATGCTGATGGAACAGTAATGGTACAAAACCAACTAGGTGTTAAATGCATATTTGCTCAGTTAAATGATAAACTGCAATTGACCTTAAATTAAAGCAGTATTTATGGGGAATTGTGGTTTACCACTTGATCTAGCGGGATGAAAAATTTTAGTGCAAAATAAAGTGCAGTTATTACACAGGAAAAGATTCCTTCCTCACCCTGTGATTAAGACATATTGCATGACTCTCTGAAACAATCTAGCCTATTCAAGGCAAAATAGACTTTAGCATAAATGATCCCTCTGTTCCTGGTTTCAATGGAAAAGCATGTCATGACAACTCCTGTTACTGGTTTCACTGTTTTTTATTTAGGCTATAAAGCCCTTTTTGTTAACATACAAGAAACAAAGAATGTTTACAAGTTAAGTATTGTGCCAGTTGTAGCACATTCCTAAAGGGTTAGCTAATGCCATCAATGTTTATTAATAAATACTCTGGTTACATATTATCTATACTGGAGTAAAACTTAAACATGACAATATTGTAGTATGTGAAATGAAAGTTACCACTCTATAAAGATGATTTCAAGAGTAGTTTTCAGATAATTAACCAATGCTTCATTCCTTTTAACCTTGGGGATAGTTCTCCCATAAATCCAGTAAGCTGTAGGGCTTGTAGTTGACACTACACCTTCTACAGCCAGTCTTTGAATATTATTGTATTTTGTAGTTCTTAAGGAAC